AGCCATTAGAAACAGGTAAACATGAATTCTTTATGCGAAACATATATCATATAGTACAACGGTGCAACATTTAGTCAAACTCAGTACTTTTTTCTTTTCATTTTAGACAGGCTACCGATGAAAGCCATCCATATAAAAGAATCTGGTAAGATCTGAATCAAAATAAATCCAACAATTTTCACTTCCCATCAGTTAACACAAAATTAGTATGATGAGTTGCCTTGAAAAAGAGACTGAGAAAAAAAGATCAAATAATGATAAATAATAGAATGCCTTCTAACCAACTGTCTTTGTGCCAGGCAAAGTACGTTTCCATTTAGTATGAACACCCAAATATGACATCATGTTCTGGTTTTCCTCTTACTTTCTAGAACCCCACAAGAAAGAAAAGCCAAGTGAAATGGGTAAGAGCTTTCTTATTTTGTCTTCTGCACTTCTCTGGAACATATGGGCATTAAAAGGATATTGATCATTTGTGTTCAATCTATGTCATATTCAAGATGTTTGAATCTTTTTCTTTTAGGCAAGGTGCCAAAGAAAGATGTGCATATAAACAAAACTGGTAAATACCATGTAAAAATAAATCTAGAAAATTGCATCTTTCTATTTGAAGAATTGTTATAACAGGAATATTTATATTTAATATTTATATACCGCATCACACTGGTTTACAGTCCTCTCTAAGCGGTTTACAGAGTCAGCATATTGGCCCCAACAATCTGAGTCCTCATTTTACTGACCTTGAAAGATTGGAAGGCTGAGTCAACCTTGAGCCAGTGAGAATTGATCTGTCGAACTGCTGGCAGCCGGCAGCTGGCAGAATTAGCCTGCAGTACTGTATTCTAACCACTGTGCCGCCATGGCTCCAATACAACAAATTATCACAATTCCATGAAGATGAGATAAATAATATTCTGGTCTTTCTTTTGTTGTCTAGAGTCCCACAAGAAAGAAAAGCCATTAGAAACAGGTAAACATCAATTACTGCCCCACCTTTACTTATGTGAAAGATATTAATATACCACAGCTGTGCCACATTTATTAAAACTCAGTACTTTTCACTTTTCATTTTAGCCAGACTACCAATGAAGAATATCCATGTAAAAGAATCTGGTAAGATGTGGATCAAAATAGATCTAGCAATTTACAGTTCCCATCAGTTAACACAAAATTATGATGATGAATTGCCTTGAAAAAGAGACTGACAAAAAACATTAAATGGTGAATAATAGAGAGCCTTCTGCCTATTCTTGGTTTCCTAGGGCTTACCTTTGCCCTGGCTCCTGTATCATTGGCTTACTGCTTGTTGAATATATATCCTCATATGATATCCTCTTTCTCATGGCTGGCTTGCTGGAGAGGCCAGTTGAAACTACTCCAACTTATCCAACAAGAAAATACATTTTCTATGAGAGGGAAAAAGAAAAAAGACCTCATGCATGTCCATTTTGTGTTGCCTGGGGAAGGTTTCTGTTGCCAGCATTCTGAGTCCTAGACTTATAGAAGAACCATCTCAACTAGTTATAAATGATCTCATAGAGACAATATTGGAACTTTCACACTTAAAGTTTACCCTTTCTTTTTAGAATAAGTTGGTCTACCAAAACCAAAACCGAGTGTTCTCTAAGTACAGTACCCCCATCAAGAATCATTAGCCCTTAAAAAGAATCTTGCAAGACTGAAAGTATTTCTCACTTCCTCTTCCTAGTCTTTTAGAGGGAGGGTCCCTTCTGAAATGCTTCCCAGGCTTTTCCCCCATCGGCAGACTAAGCTGCCTTTTATCAGACCACTGACTAGGTTAGAGGCCTTGCTTCTGTATCTCAAGGTCATTTTCACATACCATCACAGTAATCCCCTCACAGCTTTACCAGACTCTGTTTATTCCAGGACCATTTCTTACATAGCTGTCTATACCCCTTGTTCTTGTCCATGTGGTAATCTTCCTCTGCTTGCCTGATTCTGTTCCTCATTAGAAGCCCCCAACCAAAGTTGACCCCTGTCCCCCATCCTATTCCTCTTCCTTCTGCTGCCCCTTCCTTTAACTTTGAACTTGGCAGAGAACATTGCTCGACCCCTGACCACAGCAGCAGCAGAAGGAACAAACCACTGTCATTATGCCAGGAGAAGAATCTTTCCCTTTAATATGAACACCCAAATGTTGACATCATGTACTGGTTTTCCTCTTACTTTCTAGAACCCCACAAGAAAGAAAAGCCAAGTGAAATGGGTAAGAGCTTTCTTATTTTGTCTTCTGCACTTCTCTGGAATATATGGGCATTAAAGGGATATTGATCATTTGGATTCAATCTATGTCATAGTCCAAATGTTTGAATCTTTCTTTTAGCCATAGTGCCAAAGAAAGATGTAAATAAAGCCGGTAAGTGCCATATAGAAATAAACCTAAAAAATTGCACTTGAATTGCACTTCAAAAATTGTTTGAAGAATTGCTATAAATTAACACAACTCTATGACAATGAGTGTTCTGTGAAACCAATCAATTAAAATGATCAACCATTGTAACCATTGTAAAGTTTTCTATTCAAAAGAACCTGCTCAATTTGGCTTCATTTTGAATCTCAAATTAAAAGTTTCACTGACGTCACTGGACACTCCAATGCAGATATGTTTTTGTCTTCCCCTTATTTCTAGAGCCACATAAGAAAGAAAAAACAGTAAAAATAGGTAAATATTCTCATTTTCTTTTCCAGTTTGCTTCCCTGCAGCACTGACATGGTGTACTGTTCAAAATTTATAGTAACCTAAAACAATAATTTTAGCCAAGCTTTCAGAGAAAGATAAGATTATCAAAGAATCTTTAAGATCTGGATAAAAATAAATCTTGCAAAGTACACTTTCTGTAAGAGTGGTGTGTTTGTGTGAGCTGGAACTTGACCTGAGCTACTACCAGTAGCACAGGTTTAATATCTATAAAAGAAAAAAGAGTTGCTCATAGACAATACATTATAGGAATAGGCAAAGCTAGCTACATCCTACCAGGGGAAAAGTAAAAGAAAATGCATTCCATGCATATATTTCTGGAGCAAATGCAGAAGGAAGTGAACTCAGATTAGTAAGTCTCTAAAACAAACAGCAGGCAGAATGAGATAAATAAAAGATGGAAGCAAAACAAATCCTGAGTTATCTATGTGTTTCCAGCTTCCCCCTCGTGGTCAGGAAGAGATGCTGAATAATCATTGCCATGGATTCATATCTCCCTTTCCGCTAGTACTTTCTACTTTTAGCTCTTAATATAAATTAACACCAGACAGTGGAAATAAATGTGGTATAGGGAAAATGTAGAGAGTAAGGAAAATGACCTTGATAATGGTAGGCAAACTCCATTGACAAGATGACAAGGGATGAAACATTTTTAAAGTCCAGAATATCTACATAACATTTGGAAGTGGCTCAGGCAGATGCCTCCCTAATTTGCTAAGGAGGAAGAGAATGAGGTTCAGCACAAAATCTAATTTGCTAGAATTTTTGCTTTATTAACCAAACTCAATAAAAGTAGTTTTAGCCTCCCTTTTGAATTGATTTCCTTCTTTGGGTCTACCTGGAAGAGATGAGAAAAAAGTGCTTAAGTTCTGAAGTAAAATGGTTAACGAGAATCAAGTTGGTGTAGTGCTTAAGAGTTTGAACTGGCAACAGAGAGACCTAGGTTCAAGTCTATATTCAGCCATGGAGCCTGAGTAAATGACTTTGGGCCAGTCTGTCTGTCTCAGTCCAACCAACCTCACAAGGTTCTTCTTGTGGAAAGAAATGGGAAGAAAGAATACTATTTATTGTAATTACTCTAATGCAGAAATCATGGTCTGGTCCTCTTAATTTCTAGAAACACATAAGAAAGATAAGCTAACAGACATAGGTTCAGGCTATCTAACCTTGCTCTCAGTGAAGCATATTGAAATGCTATAATGTTTAAAGTTATAATATCCCAATATTTACACTTTTTTATTTCAGCAAAGCTATCAAAGAAGGATGTGCATATGAAAGAAACTGGTAAGCACAAGGGAAAAAAATCAATCTAAAAAATTAGAGGGGAGGGAGGGATACAGGGAGGAATTTTAATACTTAGTATAATAAGTAAATTTGAGTTTATTTCCTGTTATCTTGTCTTGGCTTCCCTGAATTATATTGAAAGAACAGCCCAGAATGTATGTAAACCCAATATCTTTGTTTCTCAGCACCCCAGCCCAAAAAGGATATCCATATTCAACAATCTGGTAAGACCTGAATAAAATAAGTTTAAACACTGTATAAATCAGTAGAAGAATATTTTTATTTATTTATTTATTTGATTTGATTTGATTTGTCAATCACCTACAAGTTAATAGATATAAGTATAATCATGAGTAAGAATACAGGAAATAGGTACGAATAAATGGGAACAATAGGACAGGGATGGTAGGCACAATGGTGCACTTATGCATGCCTCTTACAGACCTCTTAGGAATGGGGTGAGGTCAGTAGTAGTTAGTTTGAGGTTAAAGGAGTGGAGATTAGAGGATGTAACAACAGAGTCAGGTAGTGCATTCCAGGCATTGACCACTCTGTTGCTGAAGTCGTACTTTCTGCAATCAAGTATGAAGCGGTTTACATTGAGTTTGTATCTGTTGTGTGCTCTTGTATTGTTGTGGTTGAAGTTGAAGTAGTCATTGACTGGTAGAACATTGTAGCAGATAATTTTGTGTGCTACACTTAAGTCTAACCATGGGTGGCGCAGTTCAATGTTGTCCAAGCCCAAAAACTCAAGCCTGGTGATATAGGGTATTCTGTTGCGAGCAGAGGAGTGTAGTACTCTTTTCATGAAATACTTCTGGACTCACTCGATTGTATTAATGTCTGATATGCAGTGAGGATTCCAGACTGATGAGCTGTATTCAAGTATTGGTTTGGCAAAAGTTTTGTATGGTCTAGTTAGCAATTCGATATTTCCAGAGGAGAAGCTTCATAAGATTAGATTTACAACTCTTAATGCCTTTTTGGCAATGCTGTTACAGTGAGCTCTGGTGCTTAGGTCTTTGATATGAGAATTCCAAGGTCTTTGACAGAGTGAGGATCATCGACGAGGTCATATCCGCCTAGTTTGTATTTGGTGTACTGATTTTTTTTACCAATGTGTAGGACAGAGCATTTGTTGGTCGAGATTTGAAGTTGCCAGATGTTTGACCATTCAGACACATAATCAAGATCGCTTTGAAGGATAGTAGCATTGTTAGTGGTGTTGAATAGTTTTACGTCATTCGCAAAGAGGATGCAGTTGCTTATAAGGTGATTGCAAAGGTCATTTATATAGAGTATAAAGAATGTGGGTCCTAGAACACTGCCTTGGGGGACACCACTGTTAACTGGGGCAGGGTTAGATGTAGCACTCCATATTTTTACTATTTGTTGCCTGTTTGACAGGAACACAATAATCTACTTATGGAGGGATCTGGAAATGTCGTAAGAGTTTAGTTTCAACAGTAGTTTGTTGTGTACCACTGAATCAAAGGCTTTGCAGAAGTCTATGTAAATTGCGTCTATAGCTTTACCGTGGTCAAGTAGAGTAGTCTATATGTTTTTGCAGTGTAGGAATTGTAGATTGCAGGACAATTTTTTCCTGAAACCAAATTGTTTTTTGGAGAGTACATTGTTTGACTCTAAGTGGAGATTGATGAATTGGTTAATGATTGATTCCATGACTTTGCATGTGACACAACACAGTGAGATTGGTCTGTAGTTTTCAACCAGGCTGGGGTCACCTTTTTTGAAGATAGGGATGACCATAGCTAAGGACCATAGGTTTGGTAAGGAGCTGGTTCTGAAAGATATCTCATATATAATGCTTATGGGTTCTGCTATGGCAGAGGAGAGCTTTTTTTAAGAAGTATGCACATAATCCATCGGGGCCAATAGATAGGGATGGTTTTAGGTTTCGTAGTGCCTTTTCTACATTATCTTCTGTAAAGTCAATATGTAGCAGGTCATTACAATTAGTTGTGGTATGACTAGGAAATGTGGGGCATGAACCATTGCTGTTTACAAAGACTGAACTAAAGAATGTGTTGAAGAGATTGGCCTTAACAGCTTCATCATTGCAGTCTTTCCCATTTGATCCTTTTAGGGGTGGGAAGGTTCTTGATTCTTTAAGTTTGGTGTTAACAAAATTGTAGAAGGCGCAGGTGGATTTTGTACATAGGAGGTTTTCCTCTTGCTTGCAGTGGTAATTTGTGTATTCTATCTTTATCTGTCGGCATAGAGTGTTGTATTGGTTTTTAAAGTTTGCTACGTAGCTGGTTTTGTTTTTACATCATAGCGATCTTTTTTTTAATTGAAGTTTCCTTATTGTTATGGGTAATTTGTTTTTTTGTTTTTGTTTTTGGGGGTTATTAATGGTACATATAGTTTAATGACTCTTTCAAGTTCAAACAAGAATGCATTATAATGGTCTTCTGTAGTATTACAGCTAGAGAACAGAATGTGCCAATCAAGAGATGATAGGTCAGCATCTATGAGATCATAGTTGGCTTTTTTGAAGTTGTATTTTGGGGGTTCAACATTATGATCTTCTTTGTGAGGGTGTAAATTGAGACAAAAGTTGATCATACTGTGGTCACTGTTTGAAAAGGGTTCTTGTATTTGCAGGCCATATATTGAGTTTGAGCTGTTGCAGAAGATAAGGTCGAGACAGTTATTGAGTCCAGTGTTGTTAGTTACTAATTGATCCAGTCTCAGTGTAGTAACAGCATTGTACAGGGTTGCATGTATGGGTTCGGATGTACTTTCATTTAGTGTTCAATTTATAAGAGGTAGATTGAAGTTGCCAAGGAAAATAAGAAGGTGAGGGCAAGAGGCAGCCCACGTTAACAGTGAAGTTAGCTTGTTTGCATGAACTATGTCAAAATCCAGGGCTCTGTAGCATAGTAAGAAGCAGATTATGGCATTTGAGGACAGTTCACAGACGATGGTATCTGGGAGAACAAGTTCCTGTGTAATTTGAATCTTTTTTAGATTTAGGGATTTGTTTGTAGAAGGTAGCACCTCCTCGATCTGACCGATAAATGTAATATTCGCTGACTGTGGTAATGGAGTCTGGAAAAGATGCATTTAACCATGTCTCACAGACAAATATAGTGTAGAATGTGGTCGTGCCTAATAAGATGAGGAATTCATGCATTTTGTTTGCGAGGCTTCTTGTGTTGAGTAGTTTGCATTTTAGATATGTAGTAATGGGTCTGGAGGAAGTAAGGGGCATGCATGCCTAATGTTGGATGTTAGGGTGATGGTTTTGGGGATGTAAGTTGAAGGTCTTGATTTTGATACATTCTGTGTGGTAGTCAATGTATAGCTTAGTATTTCCTTGTTCATGGAGTCTTTTGAGCTCAGAGCATAGCTCATGGAATCATACACATTGCTGTAAAGTTAGGTCAGAGCATGAACAGAGGTTCTTATGGTTGGTGTTGCTTTTGGAGAGTGAATTTATAGTATAAATGAATTTATGTTTGCTTGATTCATTTTTGCAAACGACCCTGCAGAAGGTGGGGCCACCGAGCCATCACTGTTTCTGAACTCTGGGCTGATGCGGGAAATGTCAAGGATTTCATCAGGGGAAATGGTTGATGCTTGATAGTCACTGATGATGTTGTGGACAATTGTGATGTCATCATTGACATTGTTGTCCTCTAGACCAAATAAGATGGCGTTTGGATGCTTCCGTTTGTGCTTGACAGCTTCTCTGACGAGGATTGGGATATCATTATTTGTTGGATTTGTGTTTTTTGTGGATTAGGTTGCAGTTGTTGGGTAGAGATGTGGTTTGTAGCTATTGGTTGTTCAGGTTTTTGTGTTGTGTCTTTTTTTTCAAGGTTAGTTAAGCTTTCTTTTAAAGTGTCCAGGGATGCTACTATGGTGTCAAGGGATGTTATTCGTGCTTCTATGGTATCATAGAATCTTTCAAACAGGGCAATATATTTGTCCAGTTTGGGTCTGCATAATGGGCAGAAATATTGAAATCCATGGTTGGATGATTTTAGGAATTGAGTCATTTGCTTGGGTAATCCCAAGCAGCCATGGTGAGCATAGTTGTCACATAGAGAACATTTGGTGGAATTTTCATTATCCTTTAGAGTTTCATTACATATAAGGCATGTGCAGGAGTCTTGTGGTTCATTGGTGGGGATTTCTTTCTCTTTAGGTTGTGGTTTGGCATTGGATTTTTTTCCAGGCATGGTAGGTTTGTTGAGATGGTACGTTGATTAAATTGCTTCATGAAACAGGATATTTGGGTAATCAATATAGCCAATATCACATCAATTAATCAATTACAATAATTTCTCTAGTCAAATAATTTTGCTAAGCAACAATCAGCCTAATCAATTAATTACACTAATCGCTAATCACACTGGTCAATTAAATTCACTAAATCACTAATTTTACTAATCAATTAATTACATTGATCCTGATCTTTTATACTGATCAGTAATCACACTATTTGCACTAAACACTCTAATCACACGAATCAATCAAAACAATAAATCAATTAATCCATTGATAAATTAATTATTTTATAGAAATTGATTTAGAGATATCATTATCTAATCATTGATATAGGTCATGAGGTAGAAAAGTTATGTTTTGAGGTAATGAAGTAATCAGTATTTAAATATTAAATTAATGAAGTAGTATTGAGAGTCATCAAGTAAAGGGTAATTGCTTTGCTAGCTGCTGCTAGTCGATCCACTGGGTGAGAAGGATTTATTGCTTTGATGGCTGCTGTTATCTGATCCGCTGGGTGAGACACGTTGTAAAAGCTGTAGGTTTGGAACATGCTGAAACAGTCTGTAACAGGATGACTAAAAACACGCTGAATTATTGAATCAGGGTAAAATACGCTGAATCACTGAAACACACTGACTCCGTTCAGGGAATCCTGTTTGGGGAACCACAGCTGCTGATTCCGTTCACAGCTGACTCGATTCAAGACTCTACCCAAGAAAACTTAGGACTGGAAAACTCCTTAAAGCCACGTGGTTTCTTTTGTTTTAATGGCTACTAAGTAATAGTTTCCTGGTGAGGTAGAGGTTGGTGAGAGATTGTTTGGTAAGGTAGAGAATTGTAGGAATTATTTTGTAGCAAGATTGTTTCCTGGTAACAACAAAAAACAAGAAGTTTTTCTTGCTGGGATTTAGACTGGCTGACTGTAAGTCCGTTCTGGCTTGGCTTTCTGGATGCCTCCGGGGAATTGTATTTATCTGGGGCTCAGAAAGCTGAGTGGGGATAGCTATGCTCCAGCTTGGCTCTCTAATTGCCTCCTGGCTCTTTTAATTATATTTAATTTAATAATATTGAATTATATTGTGTATAATTGAACACGTGTAAGAATTGACAAGTGAATAACCAGTAAAATAAAATGATAGATGGAAAGAATATAATGGTTATGGTATTGGGTTGGCATCAAAGAGATGCACATTTAGCCATAGAAACCATGGGGGAGTTTCAGGCAGTTTCTCTTGAATCCAATCAAGGAAACAGGGCTGTCACTATGGCAGAAATGGGAGGAGTGGACACTGTGCATTCCATAAGAAGAAAAAGTGAAATATAAATCTAAGAAATGAAATAAATTTATGCATCTGTAAGACAGCCTTCACCAGTTGGAATCTGCCCATTTTCCCACCCATGGAGAAAATTGCTTTCAAAGCACCTTGTTGCTCACCCTCCTTTAAGCAGGGACACCAGAGATGAGATTGGCCCCATCCGTGCTCAATTCTGGAAAGTTGTTAAAAAGTTGCTATTCTGGAGACCCTTTGCGGGTGGATGAGTAGTTTGTAGTTGGCCAAAAAGAGTCAGCAATTGTGGATTATTTATGGTTCTTTTGTATATTATATATACAAAATGTATAGCATTTCAGTCCTATTAATGGAAAGAGGTAGCTAAGTCACTGTAATTTGGAGATGGAGGGAGGGAGGGAGGGAAGGAAGGGAGGGAGGGAGGGAGGAAGGAAGGAAGGACGCTTTTTGAGATTTGATCCAATCCCAGCTTTATTTTAATTGGTGAATCATGGAATTGTTGTATGTGTGTGATCTTGCTCTATCATTTCACTCTTTGTAATATATTGAATAAACAGTCTTTGCTGTATAGACTTTGATGGAGAATCATGTTTTGTTCTTCTTCTTACTTCTTAGAATCACAAAGAAAAGAAAAGCCAATAGAAATAAGTTAGTATGTTAATATTTTCTTTCTTTTGGACATAGATATGGGTTATACATGTTCAAAATGTGGAATAACTGAATTTTTATATCTTCTTCTTTTAGCTAAAGTGCCAAAGAAACATGTGCATGTAAAGGAATCTGGTAAGACTGGGGTAAAAACATATCTCAGAAATGGCTATGTTCCCTTTGAATGCTTAGTATAAATTAACAAAAGACTATGAAAATGGATGTTACACATCCTAAGTGATTATCTAGTGAAAATAAAGCACAAAATGTGAATAATATACTATATTCTTCAAACTGTGGGTTACTTAGGCTTCATCCATACAGTCCTGTTACTTTGACTACAAGATGGTCTGCTTGCCCTTTTTAAAGGAGATGTCCTCAAAATGGACCTTGGTATTGGAGCCAGATTATGGGTGATCTAGAACAGGGGTCTCCAACCTTGGCAACTTTAAGCTTCAACTCCCAGAATTCTGGGAGTTGAAGGTCCTCCAGGCTTAAAGAAGAAATATAGAAGAAATATTTCCTTGTTTGCTGGCAGATAAGCACTATCATGAAAACATGAATGTGTTGCATTTTAGTCCTATTACTAGAAGAAGGGATGGCAACTGTTTAGTCTTTTTCTCAATTTAGAAGACATATAAGCCTTAAGAAGAAAAACACAGAAACAAACAAAAAGAATAGATAATAAAGTGCATTTTGCCAACCAAATCCAGAATCTATTCAATTCCAGATTAGTTTTACTTGTGGAATTGAAGTCTGTCACTTTATTGTTTGTTCAGTATTAAATTACAGACTGTTTATTTTGAAATTTTGAATGCAAAAATCATGGTCTCCCTCTTACTTTCTAGAAGCAGACAAGAAACAAAAACCAATAGAAATAGGTAAGCATGTTTTTATTTTCCCACCTGTGCTTACCTGAAAGGTATGTTACATGGACTGATTATCCAGATTCAACATTTATCATATTTTTTTCATTTTAGCCAAGCTGCCAAAGAAGGCTGTGCACACAAACAAAACTGGTAAGACCTGAGAGGAAAAAAATAAAATATTACATTTTATACTCTCAAAAATTAATAAAAACAACAGAAATTAGTGTTCCATAAGTAAAGTGAAATAAAATATCAAGCATGGATAGGAGACTATGTTCTGTCCAATGAGATGATCTGACCAGAAGTTCCTTTTCTACCTGTTGTTTTAAATGTGGATTTAAAAGACTTGCTGAGTTAAAATGATCTTGCTCTATTATTTTAATCTATGTAGTGTATGGAATTATAAGCACACCCCTTGCTTTTTATTTTGCACCTTGAAATGCAGAAATCACATTCTGATCTTCCTCTTATTTTCTAGAAACACATAAGAAAGAAAAGCCATCAGAAACTGGTAAGCACATTGTCACTGTATCTCCTTAACTTCCATGAAGCAAGTAGTTTAAACCAGTTGTTAATGTTTATCATCTTAGTACTTATATCTCTTTTTGTCGCCAAGCTGCCAAAGAGTGATGTCCACTTAAAAGAAACTGGTAAGGGCTGAGTAAAACAATTCTAGCACATTATACTTACAATCTTCAATTCCTTCTATAAATTAACCCAAGACCATCAACATGATTTGCCTTAAAAATGTGCCTGATTGAAGAAATCGAATGGTGAGGATGGAAAATAGAGTGCCTTCTGCCCATTCCTGGCTACCTAGTGCTCATCCCTTACCCTGCTCCAAGGTCATTTGCTTACCATTTTCTATTTTGATAAGCTGGAGTAGCTTCAACCACCTTTCAAGATATGTCCTCACAGGAGATACTTCAGCTTAGGGTTTGTTTGCTGCTGAAATTCTTCCAGGTGATCCATCCATATCATGGAGTTTTCCATCAGAAAATAGAAGTAGACCTCCTGTGTGACTGAGTTGCCAAAAGAAGTAGTCGTTAGAATTGACAAACTGCTGGATTCCAGTTATCCCATAAGAGGCCCACACCATTCCATCTGGCCATGAATCCTTGTGAATCCAATGTCATGTTAACTGTGGCTACTAGAAAACTAGTATCTGGAGGTAGTCCTTGCTTCTGTATGGCTGGTAGCCTTGTTTGGAATATGGAACTCATTAATAGTCAACACAAAGTTTCCCCTAAGTTTACTATTCCTATCTATAACCCCCATAGCAGCTTTAGCAAGACACTGCATGACACCCCCTCCTATTGATCTGAGCCTCTCTTCCATGACCCACCTTTTACCTCTTCTTTGCCTGTATCCTTCTCACAACTCAGCCAAGTATGGACCCTTCTTTATAATTAGTCCTCTTCCCTTAAATACCATTTCTCTTAAATCTCTGCTCATGGGAGAACTTTACTCTCACATCTAAGAGCAGCAGAAGAGGAATTAACTAGTGTACTTATGCAAAATAGGAACCTTCTCTTACCTGTGCCCCAAATGCTTGTAATATATGGAATAATCCCACACTATGCAATGAACACTAAAATACAGAAATCATGTTCTTCTCTTCCTCTTTCTTAGAGTCACGCAAGAAAGGAAAGTTGGCAGAAACGGGTAAATATGCACCTGTGTTTAATCTTTGCATCTCTGAAACACGTGAATATAGATAACCTAGGTTCCAAATTTTTATCATAACCAAAATGCATGATCTTTTTATTTTAGCTAAGCTGCCAAAGAAGGATATACATGTAAAAGAATCTGGTAAGACTTTGGTAAAAACATATGCATGAAATTACGTTTCACTTTGAACATTTACTGTAAATTAAGACAGATTTATGGAGATGAGTTTTCCATACTTATTAAGTGCCTAAGAAAAGTGATTAAGAGAAGTGACCAAGTAATGGAATAATATAAAAGATGAGTAATATATTGCATTCTGTCCACTATGGATTATCTAGTTAGAAAAGTTTGTTCAATCCCTGTTTTAATTGTGATTTGAGAGATCTAACTAAGTGATCTAACTCTATCATTTCATTCTTTATAAAACATGGTCTTAATTTACTATAAAACACTCTTGTACAGAAATAATTCTCTGATTTTCTAGAAACAGTTCACTATGTTCTTATTCTTTCCCCTTTGCTTCTCTGAAACATATGGCTATAATATGCTGTTCAAACTTTATAATAAACTACTATTTAAAAGCATTTATTTTAGCTAAGCTGCCAAAGAATGATATGCATGTTAAAAGATCCAGTAAGACATGAGTAAGATCAAATGTAGAAATTACTTTGAACATTTAGTATAGCATAACACAAGATTATGGGAATGAATGTGCAATAAAAAAAACTAAGGAAAAATAAAATAATTCCTTTCCATCCTCCTGTTCCTCTTCCCTCTGCTGCTATTTCCTTTAATTGGCAGAGGAGAAGGAACAAACCACTGTATTGTGTCGGGGCAGACCCTTTCTCTCCCAACTCCCAAATGTTGACATCATTGTCTGGTTTTTCTCTTACTTTCTAGAACCCCACAAGAAAGAAAAGCCAAGAGAAATGGGTAAGCATCCCTTTATTGTGTCTTCTCTGAAACACATGGGCATTACATGAATATTGATTATCTGTGTTCAATCTATGTCATAGTGAAAATGTTTGATTTTTTTTTTTTTTAGCCAAAGAGCCAAAGAAAGATGTGCATGTAAATAAAACTGGTAAGTACTATGTAAAACTTCCTATTAATCCTATTTTCCACTCTGGATGGACAATTACTATGTAAACACACGCTGTGGAAATGAATGTGCCATAAAACTAGTGAGTTACCTTGAATTAAAGTTGCAAAATTGGATAGACTACATTCTGCCCTCTTAGTTGTTGTTTTTTAGTAAAAAAAACAAAACTCATTTAGTCTATGCTTCGTTTTAACTGTCAAATTAAAAGATTCTCTTAACTTCAAGGGAACTCAGTCTATGATATAATTCTATGTAGAGTGTCTCCAACTGCTTGCTATAAAAAAACCAACTGTAGAAGTAATCTTCTGGTCTTCTTGCTTTCTAGAAGTAAATAAGAAATGGAAACCAATAGAAACAGGTAAGCATGCTCCTATTTTCCCACCTATGCTTACTTGAAAAATTTGTACCAAAAAGTCATTATCCATATTCAATATTTATAATAATCCATATATTTATACCTTTTCATTTTAGCCAAGCTGCCAAAGAAGGCTGTGCATGCAAACCAAACAAGTAAGACCTTAACGGGAAAAACACATGAAATTCAACTTCCCATTTTTAAAAGTAACAAAAGATTATCTGGCCAGAAGGGTCTTGTCAACTCTGCTTTCTTTTAATTATGGAATTAAGTCAGATCACTGACTTAAAGTGATCTCATTCTATGATTTTAACATGTTTTATGTATGGAATTAATATTTATTTTGTACTCTGAAATGCAGAAATCATATTCTGATCTTTTTCTTGTTTTCTAGTAATACATAAGAAAGAAAAGCCAATAGAAATAGGTGAGTATGTTGTCATTGTACCTCCTTTATTTTCTTGAAGCAAATGATATGGTAGAGTTGTTCAATGTTTATAATAACTCAGTATGTATATACTTTCATTTTAGCCAAACTGCTAAAGAAGGATATCCATGTAAAAGAATCTGGTAAGATTTGGGTAAAAACAAATTTAGCAATTTACAGTTAACTCAAGATTATTAAAATGTTTTTGCTGTGAAGAAATATCTGACTGAAGAAATCAAGGATGGATAATGGAATGCCTTCTGCCCACTTTTGGTTTCTTAACAGTCATTCCTTGCCCTGCTCCAACATAATTTTCTTGCTGTTGCTTGAAGAGATGTGTTCACATGAGATGCTTCATGTTAGGGTTTGCTTGCTGCTGAGGCAGGCTGGAATTCTTCCAGGTGATCTCAGGAGGTCATACAGCACACACCCTGTACGACTGAATTGGTAAATTGTTGCATTTCAGTTATTCCGCAATAAGACTAAACCATCCCATCTGGCTATGAATCCTTGTGAATCTAATATCATTATAACTGTGGCTACTGTAAAACTAGATATTTCATATTTGGAGGTTGTCCTTGCTTCTGTCTAGCTGGTAGGCTTTGTTTGGAATATTGAACTCATAAACCACCAACACTGGTGAGTAATCCCTAAGTTTATTGTTTCTATCTATTACCTCCATGGCAGTCTTAGCAAGACATGCACACACACCCTCCAATTGATCTGAGCCTCTCTTCCATGGCCCACCTTTTACTTCTTCTTTGCCTCCTTCCCACATCCTAGTCAAGTTTGGACCCTTCCTTAGACTTCATCTTCTTCCCCCAGATGCCATTTCTCTTAAATCTGTCATTGTGAGAGAGCTTTACTGTCACATTTAACAGCAAAAAAAGTAGGAGGAGAGCCCACCAATGTGTTTGCACCAGAGGGGAAATCTGTGAATGAATAGATAATAAAGTACAGTCTGCCAAAGTTGAGTTATCTAATCAGAGCAGTCCCTTCAATCCCAATTTAATTTCAATTGGGGAATTACAACTTTTTGCCTCTAAGTACCTCACTCCATCATTTGCTTCTGTATTATGTATTAAATTATACACTGTTTATTTTAAATACTCAAATGCAGAATTCATATTTTTGTCCTTCCTCTTTAGAAACAGAGAAGAAAGAAAAGCCAATTGAAATAGGTAAGCACACTCTTATTTTCCTGAGATAACCTTACCTGAAAGATGTGTTATACATACTAATAATCCGTATTCAGCATTTACAATAATTGATCTATTTAAATCTTTTTATTGTAGCCAAGCTGTCAAAAAAGCCTGTGCAAGCAAGCAAAACTGGTAAGAATTGAGAAAGAATAAATTTGGAAAATTCCACTTTCCATCTTGAAAATTAAGAAAAAACTATAGGAATGAGTATTTCATAAGAGCAGTGGCTGTTAACGGTGAAAATAAACCATCAAATGTAGAACGGATCATTCAATGAAACATCATTTTCTTGACTTTTGTTTTCTAGAAATACACAAGAAGGAAAAGCGAAAAGAAATTGGTAAGTGTGTTGTCCATGTCCTATTTTTAGTTCCCTGTTTAAAATTTATAATAACCTCAAATTTGTATTATTTAATTTTAGCCAAGCTACCAAAGAAGGATATTCCTGTAAAAGAATCTGGTAAGATCTTAGCAAACTAAAAAAGTAAAAATTCTCACAATAAGTTATCTAGGATCATCATCTTTCAGTCTTTCTCTTATTTTCTAGAATCCGATAAGAAAGAAAAGTCAATACAAATAGGTAAGCACTCTTTTATTTTCTAACCTTTGCTTCCTGAAACAAATAGTTATGATAGGAATATTGATTATCTATATATAAATTATTATAACCAAAATACTTATTTATTTTTTTTAGCCAAGCTGCCTAAGAAAGATGTGTATATAAAAGAATCTAGTAAGATCGGGGCTAAAATACATGAATTTGCATTTTCCATTTTTAAGCACTTAGTTTTAAGTGAAATAAAATTAAGGGCAGGTAACATAATATACATTTTGACCACTGTTGCCTCATCCTCATAGCCCCATTGCTGTAGCAATAGCATTTAGACTTATATACTGCTTTATAGCCCTCTCTAAGCGGTTTTACAGAGTCAGCATATTGCCTCAGCAATTTTACCCACTTCAGAAGGATGAAAGGCTGAGTCAACTTTGAGCCTGATGGGATTTGAACTGCCAAATTGCAGGCAGCCAATAGTCAGCAGAAGTGGCGTGCAGTACCTAACCACTGAGCCACTGAGGCTCCTAGATTTAAGATAGTCTAATTACTGTTTATCGAGGACATATTTTCACTCAAGATTCCTCCATCTCAGGGCCAGGTTGCTACTGAGAAATTGTGAATTTGCTCTAGGCAATCTAGCCAGACCCTTGATCTTTTCCATCAGAAAACAGAAGTAGTCCTCCTCCAGAAACATTCTGTGATGCCTAGAGATGGTTTCTTTAATGTTGGCAAGCCACTGGGTTTCATCATTCCACAAATGGACTGAACCCTCCCATCTATCATGAATTGTGACTATCAAGGAAATGAAATCCCTCCAATTTGCAGCTTGCCTTTCCTTTTGGGCGGTGAGAGTGGGGTCAGTTTAAGGGGATCTGTAATTTGTGGAAGACCACAACTGGTCCTTCCCTTATTGCTGTTCCCACCAATAAGCCCTGTAAAACCTAATAGATGCTGCACAACTGATGGCACCTCTCATCATGCCTTCTTAATCTCTCTTCCCCCTTCCACTTTATAATTCTCCTTCTCTACCAGCCTGGCTCTCTGAGTCACGTGAAGTCTTCCAGCCAAGGGCAAATCTTTTCCCAATCTGATTATCTTTCTTCCATGTTCACTTCTGTTATCTCTGCCTTTGCTACTGCATCTAGCAGCAGTAGTAGGTAACCACAAGGAAACAAGGGGGAACCATAAACCTTCAAATGGAGACATAATACTCTGGTTTTCCTCTTCTAGAACTGCATAAGAAAGAAAAGCCAATGGAAACAGGTGAAAATGCTTTTATTTTTTTTATCCTTCCCTAAAACATTTGGTTATGATAAAAGATTACCCAGGTTCAAAATTTACAATAACAAAAATATTTCACTATTTTAGCCAACATACCAAAAAAGGATGTGCATGTAAATAAAACTGGCAAGTCCATTGTAAAAATAAACTCAGAAAATTGCACTGTTTACTTTTAACACCCAGTATACATTAAGGCAAGCTTGTGGAAATCAGCATGCCATTTAACAAATGACTAAAAAGTTAAATTTTTTAAAAAGGTTACTTGGAGAACAGATGATACTCTGCTCTCTGCAGAATATCTCTGAAATTAGATTGTATGTCCATGTAAAAACACTCACTAGATTTTTTATGTGTGACTGGCAATCTGGTATTCTTCAGTCAGAATAATTGTAGCAAATCAACTTTTATAAAACTAATTAATTATTCTTCATGCAAACTATGCAAATACAAATATGATATTTGATGTACTGAATATCTTGACTCTCTCCAATCTTAATAAGCCATTTTGAAATGAAATATTGACCTTTTGCTCAATTTTGTGTGTGTGTGTGACATACACTTGACAGGAGGATAACTTTTTTTGATGCTACAAAATATGATTCTATCTCACTAAGTTGGTGGGAGTGATAACTTTGCACATGAATATTATTATAGACCTAATAACATCCCCAATTCAAGAAGTGCAGCTGTTATTGCATTGTCCTATTGAGGCAAACATTTTCCAATCTCATATAAGCAGATAGAAATGCATAATACAACATACTATTTCATTAGTAATTCTGTTTTCATAAATGAAATGTGTAAATTGCTCTGGGGATGTAATTCCTTTCTCACTAAAATAAATATCAGGTGTTCTCCAAATATTTTTTCAAAGTGTTGCTATATATTACAGTAGTGCTTTATTATCATACATCAAAAATATGTGGCTGAACTATATGCTAAGCAAGGACTGAGTAATTGAATACTTTATCAAGAAAAACCAAAAGTACACATATAGACTGGGTGAAACCAGGCTTAATAGCAGTAACTGTGAGAGGGATTTTGGAGTCTTAGTGGACAACCAGCTAAATATGAGCCAGCAGTGTGCAGCCGCCACCAAAAAAGTTAATGCAATCCTAAGTTGTATTAACAGAGGGATAAAATCAAGATCAAGGGAGTTACTAATACCGCTCTATAAAGCCTTAGTAAGACGACACCTAGAGTACTGCATCCAGTTTTGTCCACTGCATTACAAAAAAGATGTTGAGACTCTAGAAAAAGTACAGAGAAGAGCAACCAGGATGATTAGGGGACTGGAGACTAAAACATATGAAGAACGGTTACAGGAACTGGGCTTGGCTAGTCTAGTAAAGAGAAGGACCAGGGGAGACATGATAGCAGTCTTCCAATATTTGAGGGGCTGCCACAGAGAGGAAGGGGTCAAGCTATTTTCTAAAGTGCCTGTAGGCCAGACAAGGAATAATGGATGGAAAATGAACAAGACGAGATTTAACCTGGAAATAAGAAGAAACTTTCTGACAGTGAGAACAATCAACCAATGGAAGAGCTTGCCCTTGGAAGTTGTGGGAGCGCCATCACTTGAGACTTTCAAGAAGAGATTGGACTGCCATTTGTCAGAAATGGTGTAGGGTCTTCCCGCTTGGGCTACAAGGTCCCTTCCAACTCTGATTATCTATTATCTGTTATCACATATTGGATCTTGGATTACCTTCAGGAAAAGAACCATCCAATCTGCCTCATGGCTTTCCTATACAGAGGTTGTATGGTGCCATCTTATAAGTGGGCACCTTTCTGAGAGTGGCAGAGGCTGGTTTGTACCCTCCTGGAGTGAGCCAAATTGTGGCCACTCCCCAAATGCTGCTCGCTTCCAGGAGAGCACCACATGGCCTCTGTATAGGAAGACTGCATGGCGGATTGGCTGGTTCTTCTTCCCAAAGGTGATCTTCAGAAAAAGTAAGTGAATTTAGGCATAACAGTGGGGTGGAGGAGGCCCAAGGCCTGTGAAGACTCAGCTGTTTGGGAGGTAAGCCCAAAGGACCCAGCATGGCAGGATGGCGGAAAATAGAGAGGTGAGGTCTCTACCACATTCCTATAGTTGGTGCTGAAGGCAGGCAGATTTTTGTTCACATGACCACAGGGGATCTGCAGCAGCTGTAAATTCAGATACAGGTTGCAAGTCTCTTTGTTCAGTGCTATCATAATTTCAGATGGCCTCTGAACAAACAGTCATAAATCATGGACTACTTGTAACTCCCCCCTCCCCCTTGGGAATGAATGGTGCTTTTGTTTTTGGCATATTCATCATTGGGGGAGAAGCCATTATTAATCAAGACGACAGGAAAACCTCTGCACTTTTGAAGCACTGAATCTACCCTTCAATCCTAATCTAACAACAACAAAAAACAATTTAGCATGTAAGGAAAGTTTATGCTGTCACCTAACCCATCTAGGTGAGAAGAAGGCAATGTATACATTTGATCACTGCCTTATGCTGGAAAATATAAAGAAGGATACCAGATCCAATTCTGGAAGAGTTCCATTTCTGCTCACTTAGCCACTCATTGGCACTGCCTCTGGGAGCTTTAAACACTTTTCAGGCAAGGGAGAAAGCCACTGTGAAAATGCCATGTATCAGCAACAATTCTATAAATACTAATTTTTTTTGTTTTGTTTTGTAGTGGTTCAATAAACCCAAAAGTCAGAAATTAAAATGAATATTTCAGAACGGTACAATGTTAAACCATCTCATGATGATGGATGCAGCTACCCCATGTGGAACCAAGCAACCCTTCTATCTAGCAGTAGTGCTCCAAGGGTTTCAGGAAAACAGTGCTTCTTTTTAGAATGCTCGTTCTGTATTTCATTATGTTCCAGATCCCCACTAAACAGTCTTCAAGTAATTAGATCATGTTCTGTTGGGAGAATCCACTTTTGTTAGGATCTTTCTGGAAAATCTTAAAAAACATTTTTCAACCATCTTCAGGGGGGAAAAAAAGTGTTGGGAAGTAACAGAAATATATTTTTATTTTACACCAGGGGGATTACTGATTCAAAAGTTTCTCCTCTCCTACCAGATTCATCCCTAGTTGCTTTTTTAAAAAGAGTTGAAAATATTGCTTCATTCTACATGGCTAACATATTGGATTTCTCATGAGGATTTTGTTATTTCTTAGGCTTTTAAAGCTTTTATGGTGTTTTTAGATTGGGTAGCTACCACTTGGGATATCCGTGGTAATGTATACAAATAAATGTGTATTTTAAGAATGTTGAGATTCTATATAGTGTTCAGAATATTTTCTTACTGTATTTGCAGCTGTTGGAGGAACCCACAAGCCAAAAGGTCAGGAATGTTATTTCCTTTTTAAAATTTATATACTTATATAGAGAATGCTGTGCAGTCTGATCCCTAGCCAATTTTTAGAGAAGGATTGTAGAGACCTTAATTCAGTTCAATAATTCTGAGAACTGGGTTTAGTAGTGTCTCGTGAGATCATACACTTCTCTTTTGCACCGTAACACTTAGTCATTACTGCTTTTATGTTAAAAGTGTTTTCACTCTTGAACTATCACTTGTATTAAAACTAACATTTTGTAGTTGAGTTCCTTCTCTAAATTATTTAGGATCGCATTATAGTTCCAGATTTCTCAGATCTATTCCACATTAACTCAAAGTATGAGAAGCTTTCTTTTTTATTTATTAAGCATTATTTATTTACTTACTTATTAAAAATAAATTCATATAGGTGCCCAGCTCACACATAGGTGACTCCTATTTTAAAATGAGTTTTATTTTTATGTAAATAATAACTTAACATAATTTGTGGTTCCTTTTTTTTTTTTTTGAAAAAAAGTCTATGACTTAGATCTATCATGACTTTGGAATTAAAACCATACCAGTACTTAATTATTTATTTATTTACATTCTGCCTTTATTATTTTTATAAATAAATCAAGGCAATGAACATATATAATATGCCTTCTTCTCAACAACAACTCTGTGAGGGGATTTGAGCTGTGAGAGAGTGACTGGTCACCCCAGCTGGCTTTCATGATTAAGGTGGGACGAGAAGTCACAGTCTCCTGGTTTCTAGTCTAGTGCCTTAAACAACATGATTTGTCTTCTGTTCAGTCTGTGCTTCATTATCTTACACAGTAGTATCTTGGTATCCATCAATAATTCATTCCAGAAGACATGACAAATACTAAAATTGATGAATACTGAGAAAACCAGGTGACTTATCACGTGACCCGCTATTTTGGCCGGAAGAAACAGTGAGTCACAAGGCAAACAGTCTTGCACATCAACACCAAAGACAATACTGCTACCCTTCAAAAAGACCTTGACTATGTATCAGAATGGTCAAACAAATGGCAACTTCAAATCTCAACAAATAAATGCTCTGTCCTACATATTGGCAAAAAAAATCAGATAATAAAATACAGGCTAAATAGTCAAGACCTTGTTGATGATCCAAACTCTGTCAAGGACCTTGGAGTACTCATCTCTAATGATCTAAGTGCTAGAGCCCACTGTAACTACATAGCCAAAAAGGCATTAAGAGTTGTTAACCTAATCTTACATAGCCTTTTCTCTGGTAATATTACACTACTAACTAGAGCATACAAAACATTTGCTAGACCAATACTCGAATACAGCTCATCAGTCTGGAACCCACATTATGTATCTGATATTAACACAGTTGAGAAAGTCCAGAAATATTTCACAAGAAGAGTTCTCCACTCCTCTACTCGTTGCAGAATACCTTATGCCACTAAACTTGAAATTCTAGACCTAGAAAATCTAGAACTATGCCACCTTCGGTCCGATCTAAGTATAGTATATAAAATCATACATTGCAATGTCCTACCTGTCAATGAATACTTCAGCTTCAACCATAACAACACAAGAGCAAACAATAGATACAATCTCAAGGTTAATCGTACCAAACTTGATTGCAAGAAATACGACTTCAGCAACAGAGTGGTCAATGTCTGGAATACTCTACCCGACTCTGTGCTTTCTTCCCCAAACCCCAAAAACTTTAACCTTAGATTGTCTACTATTGACCTCACCCCTTTCCTAAGAGGTCTGTAGGGGACATGCATAAGCACACCAATGTGCCTACCGCCCCTGTCCTATTGTTTCTCTTATTTTTCTTATATGTATCCATGTATTCATAACTATTTTTTTACTTATACCTATTATCTTTTAAGCAATTGACAAACCAAATTAACAAACAAACAAACTACTGAGAGAAAGACGAGTCCCGGGACAAGATTTCTGCTTCAAAATGTGTTGAATACCAAATTTTATAAGTTTTGAAGTAGTCAAGTACTGAGGTAGACTGCATCCTAAATCTGCAGAAGCTTTCTTCAGGAGCTGCATGTTCTTCTCCTTTGCCATGCTGCAAGGGGAATTATTGCTTATCTTTGATTATTTGATTATCTTTAACATGTAACTTCAGCTTACAATATCATTAAATCAGACACAGTGCTTAACAATCAATAGGTAAAACCGTGAGTAGTTTAGGATTCAGGTAACAAGCCAAATGTATAGCTTCTAGGTTACATCTCACAGCCATTTCAAGGAAGATAACCTCTCAATCTATGCACCTTACGTCTATTGATGCACAATGCTCTTCTCTCACTAACTCCCACTAACTAACTAGGGAAGACATTCAGGTAAATGCATTCAGATTGATCCACATACTGTAGGATTTTATATTATTTTAATTATAGGGCACCACAGATTCTAAGCTTTGGCAGCTGGGGCCCCCGCAGTCATGTGATTACATTTTGAGTACTCTGCAACCAGCCCATATTTATGGCTATTTGCAGCATTTGGCAGTGACATGGCTATGATTTACAATTCTTTTTTTTTTGCTGGAAACTGGCCTTTATTTCAGCAAAAACAAAAACAAAAAACAACAACCAGTCATTGCAGACAATGGATTTGCTTAAGGACTGCCACAAAAAAAAAAGATTATAAAATTGATCATGGCCACCTGATGACCTACTTAAAAATCAGCATGATTTATGACCATAATTCTGGGCTCAGTTCTGGTCATGAATTGAGGACTACCTATATCATGTTGTTTATCTCTGTGCAATTCTACCAGATTTGTAATCTAGATACAGATTTCTTGGAAGACACAAATGTAATGTTATCACATAATTTTAAATTATCTGTTATGATCTAATCAATATGCAAAAATGTTACTTCAAATAAGCAATAGAGATTTAATGTTTTTTTCCAAAAGGCGTTTGTTTGCACAAGCCATCTTCTCTTTGAGACTAGCTGTGTTACAGTGTCCCTTATCTTCGTTTTGCAGCTTTACAAGAAAAGAAAGAAGAAAGCCCTAGCAAGGCAGCAGAACAAGGTAAAAAAGAAAAAGAAACTCGGTGAAGCTGATAATATCTAAAGCAAGTGTCAGAACTGTTTTTAAAAATGCACATTTCATATTTCAAGAAACGGAGAACCTTGAATTTTTTCTTTTAACGATCTCGGTGAGTAGTCTTTTTAATCTGTCTGGGAAGCATCATTCTGACAGAAATCAGTTTGTATGTACCCAAGTGCAGAGACAAAATGTAACCGTTTATCTAGACATGTCATCTTTTGTGGCCTAAATTCTTTTGACCAACTTGATTTGTGGTATAAAGGCTTTAAGGGGAGATGAACACTTTATGGCATAGGCCTTATTCTTTTATGTTTTAACAATATCTGACCCTCTACATGGATCTTTAAAGAAGTTGCATTGTATACTGGTAGTCCTTGACTTCCAACCATTCATTTAATGGCCATTCGAAGTTACAGTTTGTCCAGATACCTTCCAACAACTCAAGTTAATGGGGGAGGCCAGGTTTGCTTAATAAACACATGGTTTGCTTAACAACCATGGCAAAAAAGGTCAAATATTGGACTCACTTAATAATCACTTTGCTTAGCCATGGAAATTCTGATTCCAACTGTGCTTATAAGTCAAGGACTACCTGTACCATGGGGCAAAGGTAGGTATAGAAAGTGGACTTCAGCATGTTTCCATTTAAATGGCCAAATCTGCATACAGGTTTAATGTGGAAAAAGTTATAGAATTAATATAAAGGAAAACACTACATAAAGTGAAGATGTATATAAAACGAGGATTTAAATAATTTAAATAAATTTCAACATCAGGCATTGTTTCTCTGGATACTGGAACATGCTTCTTTTTCCTTCTGGATATAGTTAATTTTGCACCCTATAGTTTTGTCCCCATTAATACTTAATTACCAATTAAAATCTTCATGCCTTTAAAAAGTCCTAGGTAAAATTCAATTGCTGGGCTTTTCTATGGAAAATCTGTGCTCCTTAGGTTTTGATAATGCTACAAATATCCTTAAGCAATGAATGTTGGGATATAAATCTCCAAACAAATTTAAGTAAGATGTCACACCCTAATATTTATCATTTGCTTCCAAAAAGATTTGTTCCAGACTCCTATTTAATTATCTATTCCAGTTTTAAAATTTCAATTGGTTAGATCCCAGCAGTGCTTTTGGATCATTTTAAGAGTACTCCTATGTATCTTCAGATATGTTCATATAGAGATGAAGCAATAAAAACTCTAAACCATATGATACTATATTGTTCCCTGTATAAAGACTCTAGCTTATATCTTACCTTGAAGAAATTTCAAGGTAGGGCATGTGATTTCTCTTTAATTTTTGTTGGACAGGAGCTAGAAAATAATTCTTCTATTTTCCCAATTCTTCATTATTTTTTGATTCTGTTATACTTATTTTTTCTGTTATACTGATATATAGAAAGATGTAATGCTTCTATTATGAGATATTTTGTTTCTATCTGGCCTTGGGCCTATAATAAATTTGATTGGATTTTATAGAAATATATAAAGTTAATATTAAAGTTAACTCTGTGTAAATATTTATTCCAAATAATGCAAACTAAAAAACACAGAGACATAAACATATGAGAGAGTTAAAAATAAGAATTTCAACATCTTTGATGTACTTATTCATGACATGATTATAATTTGCACAATATTTCCCTTACCTTTAAAAAGGCGTCATTTCAAATATTTAATGGAATGATAATGACAAGCTTAGAAGGGATCATTAAAGTTCTTTTGCTATCATCCAGAAGATATTAGATTTTAAATATAGAAGAATAATGTGATATTGTAGTATCTCTTTCAAAAGTGGCTTTAGTGACTACACCAATAGCTTCACACATAAACATGTAGGCAAACATATCTTTGCCTATGTCCAAAATCAGCTGACTCTTTAGATGTTTAAGCTGAACACTTAGAAATGATTGATTTTTTAAACTTCTAAGTACTTAAGGCAGTATTTCTCAAGCTTGACAACTTTTAGATGTTCAGACTTCAACTCCCAGCATGTTGACTGAGGAAATGCATACATCCCAAAGCTGCCAAGGTTGAGAAACATGGATTTAAGATGTGAATATTAGAGAAAAATGTTTACTAGAATATGTATGTTAGGGGAAAAGCAAAGAATATGCATACCAAAATTCATTCTGACCTAATTTAAAATGTAAATAATTACACAAAGGTATTTAAATTAAGATGGGAAAATGCACATTTTTGACAATTTCATCTCTCCCTGGTCTTCTTCCCTCTATCTTTGGTCAACAAGCATTCTTGGGAAACATGAGTAGTATCCTCAAGCCTGAACTCATAGTTTCAAAAACATCTTGTAATTGGTTCTTCTTTAATCAAAAGCTCAGTGATGATCTTTTCATTTTAAAGTTGGTTTTCTGAAGCATTAATAATAGAAACAAAATAATAGGAGAATAGGAGATTTTGGCTGCTTTCCATTTCAAGGGATGCGTCCTTGGATAATGTGAAGAAGTGATCAGGCACCTCATTCATCTTTTCAATGTAATGAAATAAGCCGAAAATTGCTGTTTTGTTATGAGTTCCACTGATTTGGAAGCCTTTTCAAAAGTTGGCTAAGAAAGAAATCTCCATGGATTTTTGCTATTTGTGAGTGAGATGCCACTCTGGACCTTTTTTTTTTTTTTTTTTGCACATGCAAATAGACTTTTAATCTGATGAATTTTACCCCTTGATTCCATTTCTTCATACAGTTTCCTATTAATCATATAGTCTTAGCTACTATATGAGGAAATAAGGGATTTATTATTTTTCTCATTTCTTCTTCTGCAGATAAATCAGACTCCAAAGAATCAAGTAAAGTGTGTCACAGTATGTATATCTTTTGTGGATATGATAAATTACCTGACAGCTTTTCGATGAATAATATTTCTTTTTGTTTTCATTATTTTAAAGTATTACAAGATCATTTCAAGTCTTCATTAAGAGTAAAAGTAATTCATTTTTTTTTAAAAAAATAATCCACTATGCTTCTCAAGTGGGCATTTAAAAAAGTAGAAATGATGGATGTGGGCACAATTAATCATACTTTAGATTGCACAATGTCAATATTATTGAATTTTACTGTTCTATTATTTTGAGCTCAGTTATAATTTCCACAGCCTAGCAGTGACTGCATAATTCTTTGTACAGCAGAAAATATTAGTCCTGGTCACAGATTTATTAATGTGTTGATATATTCATTATTTGTAAGTATCTATTTTATATTAGTGGTGCTGTTCTTTTAATTTTCTGGATTAAAAAGTAATTTTTCCATTTCAGTTATAAAAATATGATCACATATATGCTTAAATTTTGGAAATGCATAAATAACAGTACAAAAGATTATTATTACTTCCAACTATTCTATAGCATTCATCATGTAGTAATATTAATTATAATACTGAATACAAAGCAAATATCATATCCAAAAAACAGAGAACATTGGAGCTTTTGGAAAATATAAGTCTTATAAAGGAGTTTTCCATGTAGCCTTATGAATTCACACATGGATGAGCTGCAAATAATGTTGCAATAATTTTCTGTATTGTAAACACCTGTGTTGTATTATCCTTCTCCTTTCCATCTTGCAATATTCATCGCAAGCAATTGACTCTTAGACTATTATCATGTAAAACCAGAATTTAAAATATTTGTATACTTCTTTCAAGGGATATACCTTCTCAATAACTTAATATAATTGTATATTTGCAAAATAAAACAGCAAAGTTATAATATATGCTTACACAAATTTTCAACCATTTGTAATTTGTATGTGTATGAAAATTAACACAACCCTGGTATGCATTTTGTAGAACACATGAAAGAAAAAGAAACAAATTATGATGCACCTTTAAAAAGGGAAGACTATAAATAAGCAGCTGAAAGCAAACTTGAAATTAAAATATAAGTATGATAAAACTGCCAAGTTCTTCCTGATTTTGATTACCCTGTTTCTCCAACAATATGGCTTCCCCCAATAGGAAGTCCCAGCATGTTTTATAGGCATGAAATGAAATTAAGCCCCTCCCCCCAAATTAAGGCCTATATGTGAAATGGGGGGGAATGGTTGGGGGGGGCTTGCTGTTAGGAAGTACTTTTGTTGCACACCCAGATATGGTGCTGCCTGCGTTGACCCCGATAGGAAGTGCCCCACCAACGCCGAGGTCAACATCCAAACCGTCGCCGCCCACCCGAAGATGCAAGGGGAGGGAATTAAGTCACCCCCGAAAAGACGGCCTAGCCATTTTTTCAGGGCTCAAAAAAAAATAAGACCCAGCCTTATTATATGAGAAACACGGTATATACAAACAATTAAGCTGGAATAAATATGTGTCTAGTCTTGAAATATTTAACTGCAAGGTTAATATTGAATATTACATGAATGCAGACAGCAGGAAAAAAAGCATATGTGAAATGAGACTGAAATGCCTTCAGGGGTTCATAAAGACAAAGGATAAAATCATTTATACATATCTATTAAATACCCAATCTTCTCCTTTTCTTTCTCATTTAAATATTAAGTCCATAGGGAACAATTGTGTGGCATCTGGCTGGGTATTGTCAAAGGCTTTATTTTGCAATGTATGCATCTTGCTTTCCTATGCATTGTAAATGTGTAAGATCCATTAAGTACGATAAAGCTTACTTGGCAATCAGTGTTGTCAGAATTCCAGCCTTAACCGGAAGTTAGCATCTAAGAATGCAACGGGGCTTCTTGTGTGGGTAAACATGAATAGGATTTGGCTGATGGGACTCTGCATACTGTTATGTTTGGAGGAGTGGGCGTAATAACGGAGACAGGGCATCGGGTAGTGACACAACTCTTTAATAGTGACTTCAGAACAGAGCAACCAACTTGGGCAGCAGCACCTCTTTTATAGAGCTGGCTGCTGCCGCAATAAGCAATGAGAACGAGTTTAACCGCACTTAGTCTTCCAATCCGGGACGGCCGCTGTCAGCCAATCAGGTTAGCCGAAGGCAGCCAATCATGACAGCTTATTTGCGGACCAATCCGAACTGCAGGTTTACGAGCCTACAGTTGGAGCGAAGCTCGAAGAGTTTTTAATAATGAGTTTATTTACTTAGTTCGTAACACCCCTCCCCGCTAGGTTTCGTCTGAGGGGTGGGGTGACGTATTCTCGCAAATAGGCAGGCCGTTTTACATGCCTATTTGATTTCCGCTGTTATACCGGTTTCCATTCAGGTTCCGGTGGATCGTTTGTAGAACCGGGTGGTGACGACGGTTCCACCGTCTCGCTGTGTGAATCAAGGCTGTTTCCTTGGCCGTTTTCTGGGTTCTCTGGGCTTGCTTCTCTGACTGGGCTGCTATGTGGCGAGGCCATCCCTCGGCTCGGGCTTCCGTCAGGTGGTGAGTATCCCCTGGCTGGTTGTACCGTCTGCTGGGCTTTGCTGATTGGTTCCTCTGTTATTTCTATTTCGGCCCCCTTGTCTTCCCTTCCCCCCCCAGTTGGAAAATCAGGGGGTGAGAGAGAGTTAGGTGCCAAACGGGAACGAAGTTGGTCTATGTGGCGCTTCCATAGTTTTCCGTCATTCGTCTGTAAATGGTACTATCTGGGGCCTGTTAGCTGCGTGATGGTAGCGGGGACCCACAACGGGTCAGCCGAGAAGTTTTTTGCAAAAACTAAATCGCCCACCTTGAACGCACGATACTTGCTGCTGGAACCGCAAGGTTTTTCTGGCGTGTAGGTTGGGTGTAGGCGATCGAGGTGTGAGTGAAGTTTCCGGCCCATCAAGAGTTCGGCCGGGGTTCTGTTCGTGGTGCTGTGCGGCATGATGTGTTGAAGAAGAAGCATCCTGTTTATCTTGTCGTCAATATCGCCATGTTCCATTTTGTGTAATGTTTTTTTAATGAATTGTACCATACGCTCGGCCCTGCCATTGGCCGCAAGGTGAGCTGGCGAAGTTAAGGCATGGTGGATGCCCCGGTCCGCTAGGTATTGCTCGAATGCAAGGGCAGTGAACTGGGGGCCATTATCCGAGACTAAAACGTCAGGCAGTCCGTGCGTAGCGAATAGTCTATTTAACTTTTTAGCGATGGCTTCTGTTGTGGTGCTTTTCATCTTGTGGACTTCGAGCCAGTTTGAATAGGAATCCACCGTTATTAGAAAAGTGTGTCCCTTGGTGGGTCCCGCAAAATCAATGTGGATGCGGGACCAGGGGCCACGAGGTGGATCCCATTCAGTTGGAGGTGCCTTCGGTAGGGCAGCGCGGATTTCCTGGCACTTGTTGCAGGTGGCCACCCAGGCTTCTATTTGTTTATCGATGCCCGGCCACCATGTGTAGCTTCTTGCTAACGCCTTCATCCGCATGATGCTGGGATGACCGTCGTGCAATAGTTTTAGGACGCTGTGTTGTAATTTTTCAGGAATGATGACTCTGTCTCCCCACAGAACGCAGCCCTTCTGTGAGAACAGCTCCGTTTGTCGGTTTGTAAATAGTGTGAAGATGTTGTCGGGTTCGTTGTTAGGCCAGCCTCGTTCCACCCAGCTGAGGACCCGAGCCAATGTGGGGTCCTTCTTTGTTTCCGCTGCGATGTCTCGTGCAGTCAGAGGTGGCGAAGGGAGAATTTCGATCTGGAGCGCCGTAAGGGTTGGAGCTGGATCGTCTATGGCTTCTGGTAGCGGAGAACGACTCAACGCGTCTGCGTGGGGAATGGCTTTCCCCGGGCGGTGTAGCAGTTGATAACCATATGCGGCTAGGAACTCTGACCAACGGGTCATCCTTGGTGATAAGATGTGGGGAGTAGGCTTGTCCCCCGCTAATATGCCAAGCAGTGGCTTGTGGTCAGTTATTATAGTAAACGGCCGTCCATACACATATTCATGAAAACATTTAATAGCGGCTACAATAGCAAGAGCCTCTTTATCGAGTTGGCTATAGTTCCTTTCAGTCTTTGATAATGTTCGGGAAAAGAAAGCAATAGGTGCCTCATTGCCGTTTGGTAGGACATGGCTTAAAATGGCTCCCACCCTGAACGGCGAGGTGTCACACGTGACTGTTAAAGGCAAAGTCTCGTTATACTGCATTAATACAGCGTTGGAGGTCAAGAGATCTTTTACTTGCTGGAACGCTCGTTCTTCCTGTTGTCCCCAGACCCAGGAAGCTTTCTTGTCTAGCAGATGATGTAGGGGCTCAGCTACAGTCGCCTTCTGGGGCAAGAAGATATTATAAAAGTTAATGAGTCCCAGGAAGGCTTGGAGGTCCGTTTTATTCCTAGGTCTGGGGGCGTTTTTTATGGCTGTTACTTTTTTTTTGGTAGGATGAATTCCCTTTTTATCAAGGAGGTACCCCAGGAATTCAACCCTCTCAGTACAAAGTTGACACTTGTCTCTCTTTACCTTTAACCCGGCGTCTTTGAATTTTTGGAGAACCGCTCTGAGTCGGGTCTCCAACACGTCTCTAGTGGGGCAGCTATCAAGACATCATCGAAATAAGGCACGACCCCTTTAATGCCTTGCAGCAATCGCTCCATCAGGCTTTGAAAAATGCCTGGTGCTACACTCACACCGAACTGGAGCCTATTACATTTAAACGCACCTCTGTGCGTGACGATAGTCTAGGCCTCAGCAGTCTCTGCATCTACGGGTAGTTGCTGGTATGCCTGGGCAAGGTCCAATTTTGCAAAGATTTTTCCGCCGCCCAGGGAGTGAAGCAGATGTTGAACCACCGGTACAGGATAAGCGCTTTGCTGAAGCGCGTGATTTAGGGTGGCTCGATAATCCCCACAAATTCTTATCGATCCATCCGGTTTTATGGGTGTTACAATCGGGGTTTCTCAACGGCCATGATCGATTGGTTCTAACACCCCT